ACGAGGCGTCTTTGACATTTAATACCTTGAGAAGATTTGATTTTAATTACGATTTTATAAACTTATATCATGCAATAAAGAAATCTGTCCTGTCATTAATATCGAAATAAGCTATGATTGTAATTCTAACTTCAAGCACGGGGGTAGTTTATATTATTTCTTAATTTCTATCTAGTTTTTCAGTGAAAATATTCTCAATGCCTTTAAAATCTTGAGATTCTAACGGACGCCCAAACAGGGCCTTAAGGTGCGGGCACACGAGAGGTCTTAGTCGGAGACTTTTGTCGCCGATTTGAGTCTTGTCTTGAGTTTCAACGACTGACATGGGAACACGAGGAGACAAAAATCTCCTGTCGGTTGTTTTCCACCTCTGTCGATAATCACGCGCGTAGCATGCAATTGAAGACTATCAGCGACAATTATCAAACTTGTTTGATATTATAAATCCTGTCGGGGATGTGATAATCTTGTCGTGGAATCACGGGCACACGCAAAATTTTCTCAAGACTCTAATCGGCGACAAAAAACTCCGACAAAGACCGCTCGTGTGCCCCACCTTTAAAGGGATTCTTGTCACAAATATCCCCTGATATTTCCGCTTGAATATTATTTTGAGGTGGTGTGGAAATGTTGAAGACCAATAATTTCAATACTACATGTCAAGAAATGAGATCGTGGGACATAATTTTTTGAATTGATCTTTGATCAGCTTTGGTAGTTATTCACTTAAAAAAAAATATTTCAGCACAAATGTGCCATCAAAATATTTAAAGGTAATTGAAAAGATCGTTTAAAAATATTTACTTGCTATTTATTACTTTAAGTTAATGCTTTATGCGTAACCGTGGTGTTCTGCACGAAATGTCGTCAAGTGTCGATTTACACCACGAATATCTATTATTCTTAAAAGAAATTTGATCCATGAATATAGACAGGAAGACAAGTGTATGTATTGTAAGAGAAAGAGTGTATTTGAATTCAAATGAAGTTTTATTTTTAAAGAGATAAATTCGCGTAGATTTTCTTTATACTAACAAGTCCAATTTAATCCTTAATTTTTCGCGATCTTCAAAGACCCTAAACCAGTTATTCTGTTCGAATTTCTCGTCAGCCTTTTGGCAAATGTGGTGTTTAAATTTCCCCACAACCCATTTAGTGTGGTAACAACCCATAGTGTAGTAACAATCCATATTGTGGTAACAACCCCTATTGTTGTAAAAAACCATATTGTGGTAACAACCCCTATTGTTGTAAAAAACCATATTGTGGTAACAACCCCTATTGTAGTAACACACCTATTGTGGTAACAACCCCAATTGTTGTAAAAAACCATAGTGTGGTAAATTTGAAAAATGTTATTTTAACAGCCTCTATTGTGGTAACAGTGAATAATCACCATGTATACAATTTATGTAGATCTACCCAGCCTACACTAGCGGTATATCAGTTACTAACTAGATCCAATATCGACTAGGTAAACTCAGTTGTAGGGTTTTAGTAATAGTTATAATCTCCACTAAACAAATATTTCATAATTTATACTCGTGTCAGGGTCAAAGTGGGCTTACCGTGTCGTAGGGGTAAACATTTTGTATGGGGGAGGGGCATGGGAAAGTTACATAGAAATATAAAAATATGGAAATACTACTGTTAAAATAGTGCTCAATACAGTAATTGTAGAGCGATATAGTACTACCACTGTTAAAATAGCGCTCAATACATCAATTGTAGAGCGATATAGTACTATCACTGTTAAAATAGTGCTCAATACAGTAATTGTAGAGCGATATAGTACTACCACTGTTAAAATAGCGCTCAATACAGTAATTGTAGAGCGATATAGTACTACCACTGTTAAAATAGTACTCAATACATCAATTGTAGAGCGATATAGTACTATCACTGTTAAAATAGTCCTCAATACATCAATTGTAGAGCGATATAGTACTATCACTGTTAAAATAGTCCTCAATACATCAATTGTAGAGTGATATAGAAATACCACTGTTAAAATAGTACTCAATACATCAATTGTAGAGTGATATAGAAATACCACTGTTAAAATAGTACTCAATACATCAATTGTAGAGTGATATAGAAATACCACTGTTAGAATAGTACTCAATACATCGATTGTAGAGTGATATAGAAATACCACTGTTAGAATAGTACTCAATACATCGACTGTAGAGTGATATAGAAATACCACTGTTAGAATAGTACTCAATACATCAATTGTCGAGTGATATAGAAATACCACTGTTAAAATAGTGCTAAATACATCAATTGTAGAGCGATATAGAAACACCACTGTTAAAATAGTGTCCAATACATCAATTGTAGAGTGATATAGAAATACCACTGTTAGAATAGTGCTCAATACATCAATTGTAGAGCGATGTAGAAGTATTAAAACGTATCAGAGCGTAAGTAAGAGCCGAAACGTTTCAAGCTAGCTAGCCATATGAACAATTTATAAAGTATGCCTCATTAGTTTTTAAACGCGAGAGATAAATACTAATCAAATATTATAGGTAATAGGATAATGGGAATTTGATTAAAAATAAACAAAGTGGACAACTGTGTGGTCAGTTACAATACTAATTATATCAGAATTGACCTCTTATAACACTGGTCATCATTGAAGGGATCAAGGCGTCGAACTTCTATAGGTAGGGGTCGGGGGATAGGCCAGGGCCACTTCTACTAAAGAAAGAGGGGATATTTTTTATATTTGAGATGAATGCTCATTCGACACTCCTCGGTAGTTTCTGTAAAGCCGTATAAGCACTATAGCATAACTTTCACTCTAGGCCTTGTGATGAATATTCAGCCAGTTTCAATATTTATGAAATGTTCAATATGTAAATATTTATCATAAATAATCGAGTATGGTGTTTAACAATATTATGATAATTATTCTGAGATAATTGGGTCAAAGTTTCGGTCTGTAATTTTGCAAACATCAGCTGTATACTTATTTCGATTTTTTCACTTTCATCGATCCTTCTAAAAGGGATTGAAAGCCGAATTTCTCTCAAAAAAAGGAGAATTCAAACCCATGGCAGATGTGCACCTAGAAGATGACAACCCAAATCAAACCTTTGGGCGGAATTAGGCGGAGTCTTATACTTATTTTGCCACCGATAGAATATTTTGACAATGATCTTGTCACAAACTCGTTATCAAACTTATTAAATACGTTTTGACAGATGTCGTCCAGCTTATCAGGATCAGTGATCTTTAGATGGGCATATTACTTGAATTTCATTGAGGTACTCCTAAATATATTTTGATTCATTTACAATTATGTATCTCAATTATAAATATTGCATGAGCTATTAACCCCCTTCTTCATTATCCGTGTTAATAGGGTTAAATTCTTACCCTAGGGCACGCCGATTAACCTTGTTTTATTTTCATTAAAGATTCGGGTGCAATTTGGTGTTTAAGGGGTTAAGCAATACAAACGTGTACAAATTAAATATGAAGTATAATGGCGTTGTTGGGGTTAATAAGAACATGAAGCGTTAAGACAAACATTGATAATCGTTACAGGGATACAGTCATCAAAATATCCCCTTTATAGGAATTTTAGGTTAATTTTGCTGTCAAGTGATGTAACGAAAGCACAGACACAGGCATGTAGGCATAACCTCTAGTGAGAGAGTATTGTTTGGGCAGTTAGTTTGAATATAATTTGAATATATGAAATGGAAATCCATAATCTTGGGGTGACTTTTCTACGGAATTAACCGAAATAAAGAATAATATTAGCGAGATTTTGCCTAATTGGGGACCTTAATTGTAACGCGTGAGTTTCCATTCTGAAAAGAGATACAGATAGCTGAAATGTGATAAGTTGGTAAAGCAAATGACTATAAAGATAATTGAATTGAGCTTTATCAGCTGATATAGCAGCGTTGTGTATGATAAGCAGCAATGACGGGGGTGGCGCCATGTACTGTATAGTTACCCCTCATCCCCTGTAATAAAATTTTGAGGAAATAGACCAAATATGGTAGCATGTAACTACTGAATGTAGAAGTATCTTACTTGGACAGTTCGAAGACTTAGCGACATGCTTATAATTGTTCCCCTGATCTTCTACAAATATTGTACTTCGGACTAAAACTGATCGAAAAACTCATTTCAACTGACCACAAAAACATTAAAGAATGAATAAAACAAGCGATAGTCTGTAACTTTGTCGGTGATTTTGAGATATTTTCCCAATGAAATGTTGACTCAAGTGTAGCCCATAGTCCCACCGACTCAGTCTTACAATTGTTATATTGTTATGTTGTATTTCATGTATGTCGTTGACAATCCATCAAGCACACGAGGCCAAATTTCCCACAAAATTACTTAGTTTTTAGCCTATCATCAACACAATAGGTTTCGCAATTATTTTGTTGGAATTTTTTCTATGTGTGCGCGAGGTATTGTTAATTTTCCATGCGAAATTCCGATGATTTGATTTTATAATCTCAGTCTAACGTCATGACGTCATGAGTAATTTGATGCACTGACGTCAAGGAGCACAATCTAATAAAATGACGTCATATCGTCATGAACACAATTCGATGCAATGACGTCCTTAAAACAAATCAGACGCGATGAACACAATCAGATACGACGAGACAATGAACACAATTCGATACAATGACGTCTTTACACAAATCAGACGCGATGAACACAATCAGATACGACGAGACAATGAACACAATTCGATACAATGACGTCTTTACACAAATCAGACGCGATGAACACAATCTAATACAGTAACGTCATGAACAATCAGGTAAAGCAAGACCATGAACACAATTCGATACAATGACGTCATCAAAACAATTCAGACACGATGAACACAATCTAATACATAAAAACTTCTTATATGATAGAGAGGGGGGCAATGTAGGTACTCTACTGAAGTGATGACCATGTTAAATGTAGCACTATTAGGACTTTGATATGGTTTTTCTGATTTTTCGTTGTAGGTGAATTCGTCGTTCCTGATTTTGTGTCAACAGAATTGGGTGGAACTATACGACTGGAATGTAAACTGGTTGGACAATATCGATGGTATGCCATCGCTTGGAAAAAAACATCCGAGGATGGAACCGTGAAACAATTAGTGAATTTACCTATTGATACCCGACAGCCGGAATGGAACAAAGAAGCGTCTAATATTTATGGATTCCGCTATTCCCCTATCATTAACATGGACGGTGAGATCACTGAGTTCAGTCTAAAAATCAAAAATGTGGATTGTTCGGATAGAGGAAAGTATTCGTGTATAGTGACTGGAAATTTCCCTGAGAAGACCAAAGATGTAACAGTTGAAGCTATATGTAAGTGACAAGCTTTAGAATCATTTTCAGCAGTTTAATACTACTTTGAAAACCATCGTATCATGAATACGGGTTTTGAAATGGTCTTATTTACACGAGGAAGTATGACGAATGGGGATGTCGTTTGTACACGATGTTAGAAACCCTGACCCATGATGTCTTATCAGATCAAGCGACCAAATTGACCAGCTCTGAGCAATCGGGCGGTCGCAAAGACCTAAACGCTCGGGTCGAAGACAAGTATACATGGGCAATTAATGGTAACTTGTGGCATCTGCGATTTTCCAGTCGATCAAATCAAAACGATTGACCAGATTCCCCCAGATTCTAAAAGTTGCTAGAATGATATGAGTTCTGTTCATGAGCCGCATTCTTCTTACAGAACCATTCGCCCTTCTAATATTATGGAAGGGTATTTGTGCCAGAAGTCGGTGTTACATATAAATGTAAAACCATCCTTTTTGTCAAAGCTTATGATTCACGATTGCTGTTTTTGCTGATGCTAATGCTGTTTGATTGACTTTCAGATTGGTTTCAGATTGATTTTATTAGAGTGCCTAAATATTTCTTTTTGTTCATTTTCAGCCTTGCCAACTTCACCGACAATAGAATATGATAAACTAGTAATAGAAAGAAACTCTACGTTCGAATTAACCTGCGAGGCGGAGATCGGGTTACCCTCTTCTAATATAGTCTGGTTACGCAAGACTAAAGATTCCAATGTGTTCGAGAGACTGGATGATCAAGGCAGGAGTGCCGTTACTGATATCACAGCTTGTGAGAAACGAGAAAGTTCGTCAATTGATATTTTTGTGTCCGATGAATCCGATGGTTCTATATACAGATGTGCCTTACATGGGCGCCATAATGAGGCCAAGTTCTATGATGAAGTCAAGGTCGAACTAGCAGGTTTGTAGCCAAATAGAAAAGGAGTTTTACGTCCTATTTTTCAGCATTTTTCTCAGGCTAATGATGACGGACAACTTCGTGTAGTCAGCAATTATGGAAGTCTGTAGCAAGAAAACACGGTGCTTGTGGAAACAGAAAACAGCGGTTTAACAAGAAAAAAAACGAAAGAGTTATGTCCCTTCTTTCTACGTCCAAACCAAAAAATGTGGCGGACATTTATAGCATCATTTGTCTCAAATTGAACTGCAAACGCCGATAGTGTTTGCTTTTTCCGAATGAACAAAACCGGATATGACGTGTTTTGTTATTTTATAAGCGTGAGAAAAATGCTCCGATTTACTACTTTCAGAAATTCCAACCACGGCAGATCCCGGGAACGATTCGGACTGTGATGGAACTGTTTGTATTTCCGAAAATAAAGGTAACGTCTACCCATCAGTTTACCCCTGGGGTATATCCTGGGTATTTGGGGTGGGGGAATGCCGAAAGTCACAAAAACTGGAAGCTCTGGCCTTCTGTCAGTATCGTCTGAAATCATTCTGTGGGCATTTTATGCTAAAACATACGTGACCTGATGCAGTAGCGGATGGATGGGGGACAACTGGCCAACTGCTGAAGCTGAATTTAAAGTTTGGTTACTCTGTGGTGGTGTCATAGTCGCAAGCCTCTCATAGAGCGTCTTAGAGGGTTCTCTTAAGAAAATTTTATCAAAAATGAATCTATTTTGTGCATTCCGACACATATTTTGTAGAAAAAAGTAGACATTTAGATTTGTCGAAAATAAAGTGGGGGGTACAATTGGGGGCAGATGCCTCCCTGTACCCTCACTGGCGCCGCCACTACGTGGTAGGTTGTTAAGGAGGGGGGGGGGTTGGTACTCTGGAAAATTTTCTAATGTAGGAAGTCGGAGAATACATTTAACGCGACTTTGGAAGTGAAATTGTAGTAAAACAATTAAGTTTTCATTTTTATTGCCGCCTAAATACGTCACTGATCTGATGAGCTATCTCAACCGACCCTAGGGAAAAATGATACGAAACTGGTACTTGGTGATGTTTAGCCGTCGAAATCACCGGAATGAGGAGAGTGTAAATGAGAAGTTGTGACGTTCTATCTGCTTCTCGAGAAAAGGATGTGAAGGGACGTAACTCTATTTAGCGAAATCTTGCGCTTTTGTGATGAAACACTTTCGGGAGTATATCAATATACTGGGGGTGATGTATAAATTCTGTATTTTTTCTATTTTCAGACCCTACAACCAATGATTCTGGAAACAGTTCGACAGTGAGGGTTTATAGTTTTATTTTATTATCATTATCATTATTGTATCAAAGTCTGTAGTCATCTGCCATCTTCGTTAGAAATAAAACAGTTTCTTTCCAACCGCTCAACTGAAATACCTGAGTAGGCTACAAAATTTCACGGACTTCACAATATTGCTAATATTATAGTTAAGATTTCTATGTATTCTACAACGTACCGAAAATATCTTAGGCCTACTGGAGGTACAATCGCGATCATTCGGCAATCCTCGTCAGTTTCCGTAAAACTGAATAGGTTGCAGAGCGCTAGCGTATGTTTCACGGTAGGCCGTTTGAGTCGCGATTTACGTTACAAGAAAATGTAAAATTGATGAAATATTGGAATTTTGTCTGCGATTTAATTTGACGAAAACACAGGAAAAAGATAGCAAAATCTTGGTTAATGCCATGGTGTGATTCGGAAGGGGAGCATGTGATTGTGAGCGCCATCTGCATCCAACAAACTTAACACCCCGCTTCAGGCTGTAAGAGTTGATGGTAATAATACCAACCAAAACGTCTATATTTTTAATAAAAATCGATAATCTCTGATATTAGCAATACTGTTTTTCGGTCAAGTGGTTGACGTATACTATACCAGCCTAGCTCTTCATATTTCGTCGTGTTCACTCATTGTAAATCTAAATAACTTGCTCTTTCAATCGTGTTCAGATGGATTACGTTTTATTCACAGGAAGTATAGGCAATGCTTATTAGGAACAAAGCAAATAATTGGTTGAATTGTATATGAGAAGCTGAACTTATCGTTATTATGAATGTCTTCAGATTCACGTCATAAGCTACATGTAAAAATATGTATATTGATTCACTGTCGTTTTTCATATTGTAATACATGGTTTTATTTTCATTTGTAAATTTCACTCACAGGCTAATTAATTCTGTAGGTTGTCTATGGGACGCTACTCTGTCAGTCGTTTGTTCAAAACAGACCACAGTTAAATTTTTATTCGGCATTACCATGAATTCAACGGTAGGCGTGTATCTAAGTAATTGATGAAGTTGAAAACAAGCCTTACTTTTTGAGTGTCTGATTTAAATTCCTCATCAGAACAGCTAGTTTGGTTGAAAAGTGGGTGCTTACCCTAATAAGCTTACCTATAGTCACTGGCCGTGGCCTACCCTTTTAGAAGCATTTAAGCATTAGATATATTTGTTTGTGTCAATCATTTTGTATGTGAATAATTTTGTATATGTATAATTTTGTATATATACAATTTTGTATATGTATAATTTCGTATATGTACAATTTTGTATATGTACAATTTTGTATGTGTATAATTTTGTATGTGTATGATTTTGTATATGTATAATTTTGTATGTGTATGATTTTGTATATATATAATTTTGGATATGTACAATTTTTGTATATGTATAAGTTTGTATGTGTATAATTTTGTATGTGTATAATTTTGTATAATTTTGTATATGTATAATTTTGTATACCTGTATGTTTGTATGTGTGTAAAAAGTTTTTATTATATTGAATATCTGTTTCGCTTCACGGAATCTTGTTCATGATTTTTACTGTTCATCAATTGTGTATATATATTTTACATTGTAAAATAAATTTAAAATGTCTTCTTTTCTGTGTACAATAAGGGAAACTCTCTCAAGACAGCACCAATACTGGTGAATTTGTTGTAATGAATATGTAACACACTGAGCCTTGCTTTATTTCTTAAAGGGGCAACTAGATGCTTTTCTGTGTGCACTATAACAAGAAGGGCAAAGTAAACTCAAACTGTTAATTTGCTTTTTGGGTTTTCAATTTTCAAATCAGACCAAACATTCCTTTCGTTTTTTCATAGCTTTTATTTTTAGTTAGGCACTTCAGTTAGGGTTTAAAGACTGCCCTCTTGAACATTTATTGACACGGTCAGCCAATCAAATCTCTACCCTCTTCAACACTGGGATTTTGTGACACAAACAAAACGTGCAATCAGTGTCTATTGCTTCTAGAAATTCATCTTTTGTTAACTTCAAACAATCCCAACATTCCAAATAAAACAATTTGTGTTTTTTCAATTCACACTTTCATTCATAAATTCACAGGTACTTCATCATAACAAAATCAAGATTTAAAAAAGAAATACAGTAATATGAGTGGTTAATAACCTTAAATTTAAAATCTATCTTGGACCAATCAGATGATCAGACATCCTGTTCCGCCGAAAATGTTACATAATAACTTTCGAAATATTTGAAATTTTCATTGAGAAATATCTAATATTTGACGGAAATGGATCTTATGATATTTCGAGAAACAGGGGCCAAAACTCTAAAATTAAGTTTTTGTAAACCAGACACCAAACATGTTTTTTTATAGTCTCTGTTCATTTTCTGTTAATTTCAAGCACTAATAGATATATAAATACATGTAATACGCCTAATTCTTTCCCAGAGTTATTTTCCATCATCCCATTCATCTCCATATTGGTTCTTCTTACCTGGAAAAATACATCATTATAGAGTGAAATTAAAACAATACAAGCTTCTTATGCGATAATATAACTAGAGGTTTGACGAGCTAAAAATTGAACATGTTTTCAAGGGCAATAACTCATTAAATATCTTTCGATTTCTCTGATTTTCAATTGGGTTCATCCTTAGGTGATTACCAACACTAACACTAAGTTTAATCAAGTTACATTCAGTTACAAATTTCCTTAGTGATCGACGGAGTGTAGCACTGAACTACATACAAAAAAGACAATGGAACAAATCTTGTAGCAGAAAAGTAGGACATAAAACTCCATACATTTCAATTCTTTACAATTACCTTTTCCTTTGTTTGTGTTGTCTGCCATTCTAGGTTTGCTCCAGTCTACCTCTCCCATACGCTGCATATCAAATTTAGGTTTTGAAGTCGCAGGTTGGTTTCCGCTATATTGTTCTCTATGTTTCCGTCTCAATTCATCATATGTCACATTTTGTTTTATTGTTTCATTTTCTCCATCATCATAATTAAACGCTCCTGAAGAGAAAGAAATTATATATATTTATTCAATAGTATCTATGGCGACCATTGTCTTACAATAACCTCGTATGCAGATGGAAGAAAATCTTGTTTAATGATTAGGCAGAAGTTATATCCGCATTACAACATATAGTTCGTTGGCTGTTTAGAGTTATCTCTCTTTGATTGCATAAAAATAATATCATCAGAACAGGACTGTGGTAGAAAACTTGTTAGATTCTAATGGAGACTAAAAATATTAGATATGAATGACATGACACCACTCTCCCCTCCCCCAACTTACCCCCTCCCCCCCAACTTACCCTCTGTATCAGGTTGTGTATTACTATATTGTTGTGGGTAACCAGCCATACTTGCTGCCTGCTGTTCATTCTGTGTTATCTGAAGATACTCCTGTTGGCTGGAACACAGTCAAAAAATACAATTTAATGTAAGAAAGAAAGAAATATCCAGGCCTAGTCCTATATTTAACAAGGATTACAACTTAGGTTCATATTTAAGGATCCTTTCTACCAGTTGGTCTATTGCTAAACCACTTTTCCTGATTCTCTGTTTACAGTGGGGTTGACTGAAATTATGAGGGAAGATGACTTAATTGAGGTCAAAGGATTTTCAAACGCCGAAAAAAAATAAAATAAAATAACATCCTGTAGTGTACAATGAGGGAAATTTTGTCCTTTTTTTATCGATATGTCAGGCACCCACTTCCCAAGGCTAATAAAAAATTAACAATGCATAACAATAATTTGAACATACGTTATTTTTCCAGTTATTAATTGACTATAGGTAGAATTTGGTATTCTCGTTTCAAATTTCTTTTTGCACTTTGGTAAATAGGCAATTTTACCAGCAAAATACCCAGTAAATAAAGCCACTGAAAATAATCATGGCATGAAGACAGTATAAATAGTCACAGAAAGAGAGTAGATACAAATGATATGAAGTGTGCAATGAGGGCAACTTTGCTAGCACCTGGGAATCAGCCTACTCTTTTTGGATATTCAATTGTTATTTAAATTTGCACAACCAGTAGCACATTGGGCTAGTTGGGTTTCGGTTATTGTTTTATCTGCACAAATGGACACTTTTATCAGTCAGCCCCTAAGTGTTTGATGACGTCACTAATCACAAAATATGCTTTTTTACATGAGTGACAATAAGTGACGTCATCAAATGCTTAGTTTTAGTGTAATTGCAGGAACCACAGACATCTGATTGAAAATTGCAATGGTGCAAATTGATGTTATTAGTGTCCCAGATAGACATAAAATATTTAGAAAACCTCTTTGCAATCCTTTTAAAGCAAACATTTTCAAATCATGACAAGGTAGATAAAGACTCAGTGATATAGCTTACCAGTTAGTCCTAGATATCTCCCCTTTATTATTCCTAGATGTCTTAAATAATGGGTTCCAGCACCCATTACAAATGATATTGGTAAACCTGAAAATATTGTGAAGAAAGGGAAAGTACATGAAATGAGTAAAAAATTGACACAAATTGGTGAAAACTTGACATGAATGGATAAAAAATTACATGAAGTGTTAAGATGTTGACAAAATTGGAAAAAGTTGACCCAAATGGATAATGGGATACAAAATTGACATTAACAACAAATTGTTTGTTCCTGATATTACTTACAGCTATAAAACAAACTTTCATTCTGGCATTCTTTCAGTATAGCTTGTTCTTCTGGTGTTAGAACGAGCTAAAACAAAATATTAAATTAAATACCATAAGTATAAATTGGTGCAGTATGAGGATGAGAGTTGACACTGAATGCTCTGTTAGTTCAATGATGGACTGTGATATTACTAAGTATTCACTTGTATTCATGGTATGCATATTGCTGATGGCCTGAGACAGCCAATCAAATCACTGAATTTCATCATTTTCACTACTTGCTGATCGATCTAGGTTTGCAATAAATAAACATAACTAGATGTTAAAACTACAGGACTTAAATAGACTTTAGTCTTTAAATTCATAGTGTGAATATTATGTTTTAAGTGTGAAGTGCAAATTAGGTCTATTTCGATGCACAGTAACTAAAACTTTGACTATAAATCTTGTCTACACAAACTGTAGGTAGATACATATCGTTAGGATCAAAGTGTACGGTAACGTTATTACCGTCTGCGTGTTTGCTTTTATAATATATTTACATAAGCTTTGCAAAACCGAGACACCATTCAATCAGTCGACGATATTGCTGACTATACAGAAGCATACCTTCATCTTGAGACCTACGACTTGTGAACGCTGTGGATCGAACTGCTGTCTATCCTGGGCAGACATTCTGTCAAAATCTAAAGCTGTTAAGCTTGTATCATGCAGATAAAAACCATTAAAAGTTTTGTTGTTATATTGTTTCGGCCATCTTGTTGACCTTCACCTTAAAGTCTTTTGACTACCGAAGTTTCTCTTACACAATACCAAACAGTATCAAAATAAATACCCGTCTTTTCACAGCCGAAAACTGATGTAAAAGTGGTTTACAATGGTACTCATTAGTTGGGACAGTAGCTACGAAGAACAACATCTGACTTGTGATCAATGAGATTTAAAAAATGACGAAATATTGATATGAAATCTTTAATAATAACAAAATATTTTCACTGTTAGAAAAGTACTCAATACATCAATTTAGAGTGATATAGAAATATTAAAATAGTTTTATAAGAAATGTTCAATATACAGAAATCAAAAAAAATAATCAAAAAAATAACATCATGCCATCATCTCTTTAATGCCCAATACTAATACATATTTTTACCCTGTTTCACTGAAGCAGGTAGGCCTAAACCTTATACAATGGAGATAATAAGCCTAGTTTAAGAGGCTTAGTCATGTATCCTATCAAAAAGAGAGACGTGAGGTAAGACAACAACCACAAAAACTAATATCAAATGAATTATTGGCACACTTCTATACTCATCCAAATATGACGTTACTATCATAAAAGCAGTAAATAATATAAAGGCATTTATGATTTCTATTAACAATCTCCTATATAAATTATTCATAAAAAGTAAAAACAATACAAAAGAGATAAGTATCAATTTGTACCATTCCAATTTTCAAGCAGACGTCTGTGTTTCCGGCACTTCCACTTAAACTAAGTCTTTGATGACATCACTCATCACGAAACGCCTTATGTGATAAGTGATGTCATCAAAGACTTATTTTTAGTGGAATTGCAGGAACCACAGACGTCTGATTGAAAATTGGAATGGTACAAATTGATACTATCAGTGTCCCGATACACATAAATTTAAAAAAAAAAAACTTCTTTATAATCCCTTTAACTTATTTAAATTTTTCAGAGATATAGTCAGACATATGAGCAAAAAATATTTTCTTAAACAGAGTATTTACATAGAAATGTAAAAGACACTGCCTGATATTTTATCATTTCTATCAGACATACCTGGCAACAATAGCCAAAATAAGAATCCTGTATCAAATCTAGTCATATATGGCATGGTTTAAAAAGCAGTTCACTCATATTTCAGTATCCAAATGGATATTTCATTGCTTGATATAGATATAAGCCTAGCATATATTTTACATAAGTCATGGATTCTGATTGGCTACTACAGTTACGATATTCGTAAGTTTAGGATAATATGTGCTTCACAAAAACTGTGACACTATCCATTTGGCATCTTTACAATGTCAAGCTATTACAAACATCTTTACCATATCAAGCTATTACAAACATCTTTACAATGTCAAGCTATTACGATGTTCGTAATAGCTTAACATTGTAAAGATGTTCGTAATAGCTTGACATTGACAGTTATGAAATATTTTCAGATGAATATTTTCTTTTTTGTCCACCCTACACATCTGATATTTTAGAACAAATTGTTCCTAGGCATCTTCAGGTTCAACGTTCACATCTCCGTTCACATCTCCGTTCATTATCGGACTAAGCTCCTTCCCTTTCTGAAAAAAAAAATTAAAATGATCATAAATCAAAGATAAACCAATTAAGAGATATAATAAAAGCCTCCACATTCCGAAAGCTATTAATAGAGTCTACATAACTAATATTTCGGTTTGTGAATTTGTCATCTCTTTCAGAGAGTTCACACATTGTAATGTTTATGTGATATGTAGGTTTGTCAACTGGTCATCTTTCAGAAGAGTCCTAAAAGCTAATTTAATGTTCATTTGGTCATTAGGTCTGTCCACTCTGCAGCTCTTTTAGAAACAACATTTTGGGTTTTAAGTATTGACTCTCTCAAAAAGTTACTAATGACACTAACAAAACAAAGCTTGCATCTCAGAGGACTGACATTAGATTCGTCAACTTGTGAGAGTCCACAAGAGTGCTTCCTTCACAAGCATCACCATAGCTGAATCATAGTTCTTTAAATCAAGATAAATTTCTACCTGTTTTGAAGGACAGAATCTTTTCTTGGAGAAGAACATGGCGATACAGAACAGTATAAAAACTCCAACAGTTATCGTTGTAACTTGAATAGCTTGGGTTAATTTCATTGGTTCCTGAACTTTTGTTTTAAACAAGGCTGCGGATTTATCATCTATTACTGCACTCTGTAAAAAAAAGTTGGTTACAGAAATTCTGGTGAAGATTAGGACACTGCTGGAACAAATGAATAGCTTGATTGTTGCCTGCTAGGACAGTGGAATAGCTCAGTCAGTAGCTTGTTGGATTGTCGTCTGCTAGGACAGTGGAATAGCTCAGTCAGTAGCTTGTTGGATTGTTGCCTGCTAGGATAGTGGAATAGTCCAGTCAGTAGCTTGTTGGATTGTCGTCTGCTAGGATAGTGGAATAGCTCAGTCAGTAGCTTGTTGGATTGTTGCTGCTAGGACAGTGGAATAGCTCAGTAGATAGCCAATTGGATTATCGTCTGCTAGGACAGTGGAATAGCTCAGTAGATAGCCAATTGGATTGTCGTCTGCTAGGACAGTGGAATAGCTCAGTAGATAGCAAATTAGATTGTCATCTGCTATGACAGTTGAATAGCTCAGTCCGTAGCTCGTTGAATGGATGTCTGCTAGGACCTCTTATGCTGTGGGTTTGAATCATCCTCATGCCATGGCCAATGCTTCCAAGGATGGGCCAGGTGTTGCCGTGTTGGCCTTCAAAATATAAATTTACTTACTTCATTCAACCAGAGAATTGGTAAAAACATTGATTTTAAATTGGACGTTTGTCTAAAACAAAACAAAACAAAGAATTTTATCATTCTTCAGTCTATAAGCTTTCAGCTTTTAAGCTTGAGCATAGACAAATTCTCACTTGTAAAGCACTTATAAAGCAGGGAGTGCTCACCCTTCTGGACCACTTAATGTCACTGTGAATGTAATCTTGTATCCCCACCTAAGTGTCAACATAGCTTATAATATTTATTTAGAACCTTCATCTTTTAATTTTGTACTTTGAGTAATTTGAGAAGTGGTGCAATGGCCAAAGTAATGATATAAGGGGAGATAAAAACGTACGTTAGATATGAAACATTAGTTATATGTATATTAATTTGTAATTTTTTAGCAGCATTCATTGTTGTACCAGTTATCTAGAAATATAACAGAGAAACCAGCTGGATTAAAGAGATACAGTTCTTATTGTAGGGTAATTAGAATTCATTCTGAAAATTAGATAGCCGAAATTAAGCTCCATCAGCTGGTGATGGCGAAGCAAATTATTGGACATCTAAATCCATCTGACGTCATTCACTCACACACAAAAATCTATTGTTATCCTGTGGGCCCCAATTTAGATTATTTTTTTATTCAATTGATGTCCAACCAGTCAAACAAGTCGAAATTGTAAAATTAAAGTGATACAGGCAGCTATAAAAGTCTAAGTCTTCTCTTAACGATCTTAGCAATAAGATGTCCTAGGGTCTTAAATTCTAACCCTGTTCCTAGAACATCCAAGGGCTTGGAATTTTGAACTTACTGGATCTAAATCTAAAATTTTTGAGGAATGGGATACAAGCTACGTAATCTACAAACAATCCTAGCGCTAGGATGTCCTAGTGTCTTAAATTCTAACACTGTTAGGACATCCTAGCACTAGGATCCTTTCAAGAATACGAGGCCAGAATAATAAACTTACTGGTTCTAAATCTATAATAGTCTGATGCTCCTCTGTATTGGGGTGTAAACCATATACACTGTTTATAATAGAGGGATCTGCTGCTAGGAAGTGGGGCTGGGATAACACTATAGGGGCCGCTGAAATATAGATACATGATATGAAATATATTGGCTGGACATGCAGGGCTCTTGATTATTCTTTTTTTTAGCCAGACATGTCCGTAATAGAAATTCAAATATTAAATATAAAGACACTTTTATTTTCAGCACCAATGGAATTGTACTTATTAATTCCATTTCAGTCCTATGGAAAAATCAGGTTCTCATGCCCCATCCCCTCTGTTTCCTTTTAGTACAAAACTTACATTGTCTGCAGGCACTGACATCTACAACCCCTGAAGGGAGACAACCCTCAGCCTCAGTACAGAAACCCTTATTGGCAGGGTTAGCCGTGGAATTCTCAAACAGACTTGGCGGGGCTACGTATCGGTACAAATCTATTCCCTTTAATGTGTATTCATATCGGTACAATAGATCTAGGGACCTGAAACATACAGAAAAAATATTGCAGGCGTCTGAAGTTCCTGCAATTCCAATAAAACTTAGTGTTTGGATGACGTCACTAATCGCAAAGGCATCATGTGATAAATCATATTTCTCGATTGATGACGTCATCAAACACTTAATTTTAGTGGAATTACAGAAACCACAGACATCTGATTGAAAATTGAAATGGTGTAAATTGAAGCTATCAGTGTCCCTGATACACATACAATTTGAGAAAACCTCTTTACAATCACTTTAAAATCAAGGACCTTACCTACAAACATCAGATGAAAAAACATAGATTGGATCATCCCCTGTTTGAAATGGTGCATACATTGTTCCATCTACAATTAGAAACATAATAATATCATATATCACTTTTCAGGTTGCTTTTTAAACCACAATAGTCCTTAAAAAAAATATTTGAAAACGTTTTAATCACATGTGGTTTAAGTGCTTGTCAATATTCCAAAGACTTAATAATTCAAACAGATGCAAAAAAGTACAGACCGTGTCCTCTTTTAAAACATGTTTTTTGAACCCACCTGAGCCATTGATCATAGCAGCTGTGTCTGATGTCCAATATGGTAGAGAACTGAAATAGACACAAATTCAAATCAACTTAGGGATTGGTGGAAGGTAGCCATTTTTCAATGTGTGCCATAATAGCAGATTCCAATCAGATTACTGTATTTCGTTAAAATCAATTAATAACTCGAAACATCCCAAATATTTTAAAGACTCTACCCACCTCATTCCGTTCCATCTATTTATAGTCCCATGTCTTGTGGCGTCGTCTTTCCCAGTAAAAACCGTGTATAACCCATCATCTGAGCCATTTTGCTGCAAAAATATAATGTGAGGTTAGATTCGGTTAGATCATTGGTTCTTTTCATGACATCATTTGCTTGATTACGTCGAGCAATTGGCGGCTGTGGATTCAATTCTCGATTGGAGTGTGATAGTCTGATGACCTTGAATTAGTCATCTTCACTTTCCAGTTCCAATTTCAGTCGACCCAGCTGTAAATAGTACCTGATTAGGCAATAGCTGCAATGTGCAATGAGGGAAATTTTGTCATAACAGTGACTATATCCTATTTTCTTTTTTGATCCAACTAGCAAGAAAACCTCCATGCACTCAACCTGTATCAAACAGGCCTTTGTTAAGGGTACCATTGAAACGACTTGCAGTATCAGCCCCAAAAATAAACAAAATTCTGAAGACCTACCCCTTTAAATAAGCCGAACTCGTCATCCAGTGTGATGTTAAAATGAAGTCTATTGATGATAGCTTTAGCATCAGCTAACAGTTTATCAGGGTAACCCCACATCAAGTCTCGTACAGATAAAGTTAAAAAATATTCTTCTAAAGACAGCTCCTCTAACAGATTTACTATTTCTTTAAATAATTTTTTTTGATCTTTTACTAGATTATCTATAACCTATAATTACAAATGAAATACAATAACAAATGAAATACAATAACAAATGAAATACAATAACCAATAACAAATGAAATACAATAACAAATGATATACAATTACAAATGAAATACAATAACCAATAACACATGAAATACAATAACTAATGAAGTACAATAACAAATGATATTCAATAACAAGTGAAATACAATAACAAATGATATACAATAACAAATGAAATACAATAACAAATGAAATACAATAACAAATGATAACAATAACTGGGTTTATGCATAAAGTCAATATTTCTTTTACAATTTATATCTGTAGAAGGGGTAATTTTTGTTAAATGAACTTTATTTTCATAAATTTTTTCTGATTTTCAGACGTGATTCCAACTCTTCATTACCAATATGATCTAAATGTTTCAAAATATATACTGATGCTTGGCGTGCACTTCCACTTGAATGACAGTGGAGACATGTTTAATCGGTTGCCAATAATTCAGAAAACCCGATATCCGGAATAAGTATTATGTAAAATTACCTATCAATCTGATGATTAAATTAAAGATTAGCTGATTAAGAGAGAACATAAGATGACTTACAGCAATTGGAATATTTAACGTGGTAAAATTATCGGTTTCTGGTCCACTGGACAATTCCTCTTCAAACACGAACCACCGATTTTCACGATATGACACAGTACCGTTATCGTTGAATGTTACGTTAACTTTCAATCTTTCCTCTCTATCAAATATAGAAAACAAATACAAAAAACAGGCAGCTTTTTTTATGTTGCCATTTTTTAAAATTAATAAAATAGCTTCCAAACGACGTGAATTTCATAATCAAAGAACTAAGTCAAGTTCCAACAGTGGCGAAATTCTCGAAGATTTAACCCAGCAGAGAAAGTGAGCCCCCAAGTTCAAATTACCCTTCCAGTAAGCCAACCTTCACATAGGTTCAAACTCCCCTTCCCTCTAATAGGTTCAACCTAACCAGCCAAGTCTATACGTAGGTTCAACCTACCTATATGTATAAGGTCCCATCTGCACTAGAGCTGGTTTATCCCCATTCTGTAAAACTTCTATATGATTGGCAATGTGAAACACCCATATTTGGAAAAATATTGGTGAGGGCGGAGTTAAAAAATCTTTGTACGTTTCTGAACTTTTTTCTATTGGTATATTCTAAAAATAGAAAAAATACATATATTTAAACTTAAGCCAGCTATAATGGGGGTCTGTGATTCATGGCAAATATCAAGATGATACCTTCAGATTTATTATTCCCTATCATTCTAACCATTCAGATGGCACAAAAAAACAAAACATAGGGTGAGTGACAAAAGAGTTAAAATATGCAGGTATCATCTCATTCTATGCTAAAATTGAACCCTGTATCTCTAGGATAGGGACCAAGCATCTTGACTAGATGAGCTACACCCTCACCTAATCATACATAATCTACAACTGATATAGACATATATATACATGTAGATTAAATGTGTCGATTTTTTTATCTGAATCTTTTTAGTTCACATATGTTAGGAATAGATCGATTACACCAAAGTGACATGATCCTGTCTAACATTCAGTCCATGGGGACAAACATAGACTTCAAAATTAGATCCATTACACCAAAGTGACATGGTCCTGTCTAACATTCAGCCTAATGGGACAAACATAAATTCTTTATATTACATTTTAATATGTAAATAATGACATAATATAACAATTATTGCCAGTTACTATAATAATTAGGACTTTGGACTATTGGTTTTTATTCACTATAGTTATAGAGTATGACAAACCTCTTAACTATATAACATTTACAAGTGACTAAACCTTAAAGTGATTGTAAAGAGATTAGGTTTTCTAAACTTTTTATGTGTATTGGGGTCACTGATATCTTCAATTTGCATCATTCCAATTTTCAATCAGATGTCTGTGGTTCTTGCAATTCCACTAAAAGCAAGTGTTTTATGACATCACTATTGCACAGCTGCTATTGATATACTGTATATTATAAGGACCTTTGTAACAGTGATGTCATAAAATGCATAATTTATGTGGAATTGCATGAACCACGGACGTCTGAATGAAAATTAGAATGGTGCAAATTGATGATTGCCTTTATACAATCCCTTTAAGGGGAATTTAGGGGTAGAGAACAGTTATGTGTGGACTTATTACCCCCTTATATAATCATACTAGATAACAATGATAACTATCCTGTTTAATAGATACCAGATAACAATTAAACTATCAATGAGTTACCTTCAATGGTCAGTGTAGAATATTTAAGGGAAGGGCCATTGGGCCATGCTACTCCCTCCCCTCAGGCATGTGAATGGTCAATTTTGAAGTGAACATTAAGCCCTTTAAATGCTCAAAAGTCTTCTCAGGCCTTCTGTAATTTGTTGGCTTGTGGAGGTCTCAAGTGACCTTAACCTTCCTGTTATCATGATATCTTATTACAATCAGTTCATATAGATCTTTATTTCTCATCAACTAGATCAAAGTTTAGTCATTAACAATTCATAGAAATAATTTATCATTAGTTATTGTAATACATGGCTAAAGCTTGTGTTGAGTAAGAAACATTAGGTCTCATATCATTTTTAAAAAATGGCATAATGTAGGCTACCGTATGATAAGTAAAGACAGATATGAATGGTACATACATCCACATCAACAGTTTAGAGATCTTATCGGAAGATGACTGGTAAATACAATCTAGGCTTATCAATGGTTTAGAGCTCTAGTCAGCCATGCCTGGTAAATACTGCCAAATCAACAGTCTAGAAATCTAGTCAGACAAGACTGGTAAATACAGCTCTAGTCTGATATGACTGGTAAATACAGCCAAATCAACAGTCTAGAAATCTAGTCAGACAAGACTGGTAAATACAGCTCTAGTCAGACATGACTGGTAAATAAAGTCAAATCAACAATCAGCACTCCTAGTCCTAGTCAGAAATGACTGATAAATACAACCAAATCAACAGTTCAGATTTAAGAATACCAGTCGTGTCTGACATGTGTCTGTCGCTGTCAAATAGATTTTAAATAGGCCTATGACTAAACTCTACAAAGCTGAGAGCTCAAATCAGACAAGACTGGTAAATACAGCCAAATCAACAGTCTAGAACTCTAGTCAGACTAGACTGGTAATACAGTCAAATCAACAGTTTAGAGCTCTAGTCAGACTAGACTGGTAATACAGCCAAATCAACAGTCTAGAACTCTAGTCAGACTAGACTGGTAATACAGTCAAATCAACAGTCTAGAACTCTAGTCAGACTAGACTGGTAAATACAGCTCTAGTCTGATATGACTGGTAAATACAGCCAAATCAAGAGTCTAGTAGAGCTCTTGTCACAAATAACACTAGGGCCTAGTATACAGTCAACAATCTTCAAGAACGAAACACACAATCCAAACACATTATCAGTTCAAGCGTTTGATTTCACAACGACATAACATTTTTTGACTTGTGTCAAGTTTTGTAATGAAAATAAATCAAAATGCCAACTCACTTCGTTTACTTGCTTGTGTATCAAATTCTTAAAAACTGGTATCATTACTAAGCCAACGATGAAAACGACACACCCGAGTCCAGCACAAACAAAAGTAGCGATTTTCGTCTGACGCTTCATTTTTCTTTCATGCGATCGTTAAATAACTCGTCCATTAGCACAAATTTACCCTCTAGTTTCCATTTATTTCGTTTTGTCTGTCAAATCAAAACAAACCTCACGTGATGCTTCAGCCGTAGCCCGAATGGTTGATATTCGATCAACCAGCTATAAGATTTGTTAAGACAAGCCGTCCTGAAAAGCAAGACTATAATAACGAGATAAACGAAGTAGCCCGAATGGTATAGTCTCTATCATCCAAAGATAGATTTTTAGTGAAACTCATTAGACTCGATCATAACGTTTTCTATTGGAATATCAAAACTGGTTTGGCCACATTATGCATCTTTGCACTCAAATGCGGGTTTCAGGCGGTTAATCAGTAGAAATTTGGACAGCGGCCAAAAAAATTTCGAATAAAACGTTGGTATTTTAAGGAGCCTCGTAAATATTGGTTAAAAAGAAAAAAAATTCAGAGAGAAATACAAAGACTGAAACTAGAACGGAATATCCTAGAAAATCATTATTTCAATTATGGAAAAACGTTATCTTAGAACCCACATTAAACCAGCATAATGATGGTGAAATTATGGAGATATTCAACATTTCTTTTTCCGATTTATTTGAGAAACAGTACTGTAGTCTGAAATGATATATGATGTGGGTATTAGAAATGGAATGGAGTTTTACGTCCCATATGTTATATGTTTGCACCTAATCAAAGGAATCCATAGCGGCTTTTGCGACTTCAAGCTGTCGAAGGAACTTTATCATGCACAGTCTCGAGATCATGGGGCCTCTGATTTTGGTCTTAACAGAACTAATTCAAAAATGAAGATCTATTTCGTTTCATGTTTTATCTTAAGTTTCTCAACTTGCCACCCATGATCTTTTGCGTTCAATCAAAGAAAAGTCAATCTTGAACGGAACAGATTAACATTTGATTGGTCGAGTATTTCTATGACCTAGAACATACGTTACATAAGAATATCACCAGACCATTGATAAAGAGTGGCACCTACAAAACACCTTAATCCAGAGAAATGGCCTTCTCTAATAATTACGTGGGGGGTCGAATAGAGGCCAAAGAATTGTCAACGGGGACTCGTAGCACCAGGCATTAGGCCTACTTTAGTAAAATGAAATTTGAAAGTGGCAAGAAGGACAATAGCGGGCAAGCGCCCAGAAATCCCCCCCCCCCCCCTTTTGCTCCCTCCCCGACTCAAATA